CGTTCGGCCAAAACGACCCCCTCGTTGTTCTTTGCTCAACGGACGGTTGAGCCTGATCATAGACCATTGCGACATCACCTGGAAGCTGGGCAAAAGCTGTCTTGCACAGTCACAGCTAGCGTCTCTAGAGAAGCTTTTATCAGTTAAATGATTGAAGAATAACCCCCCCCCCCCCCCCCCCCCCCCGCCCCCCCCCATAAGCAGCTTTCAGGCTGTGATGTAGATAACGTAGGCTTCCTGTGCTCGACGCCGATGGTAGATGGCGTCATATCCTGAAGTCGATGAGGGCAATAATGAAGGGCCTGCCTCTGCATATGGGGGAACAACGGCACCCTGTGCGACGAAAACTTCGATGATGTGCGTCGTGAGCAGAGCGACTCTTTTTTGCCTCCCCCCTCTTTAGATAGGTAGAACCCGTCCATCATCGTACTTTTGCCGCTAACACCTTCTCCGAATCGCTGAAAGCCCACCGCGATCAGATTTCCTTCAAAAAATATCACTGTGATCGTAGATGGCGGTGGCGTTCCGCCCAGTTAGGCCCACCCCCGCGCGAAGACGGCGAAGCGTTTCGCCGCTCACTCGACATGCGACGACTGTTGGCTGTTCTCGTCTTGTATGTCGCTTTTTTTTCTTCTCACATTTACACCTTTTATCCTTTCGGACAACTCGTCCAATATCTTGGGCGCGAGTCCAATTGTGGCTTGAATTTCAGCGTACGGATAGCAGCAGGCGGCGACACACCGTTCTTCGATCTCACACGCTACAATGATTTCCCAGAATTCGAGGATTACGTACGAGGAGTGGCCAAAATGAATCCGGAATTTGTCTCATTACGGCTTATTGGCCAAAGTCGTGAGGGTCGTCCACTGCTTGGTCTTAAGGTGAATCCGCAGAATCCACGGCGCCGATTAGCCATGTGCTATCGTCACCGTGGTGACTGAACCTGTTCTTCGTCCACTTTCGTCTAACCGTTCTAACTGTGGCAATGACTGGACTTTCTGTTTCTTTTGTAACATTTCGACTCGTTTTTCTCACTTCGCTAAACGGTGCTCGTAGATGATGCACGCCCAAGTCTGAGAGATTTCAGTTCGCACTTCCATTTGGAACGATAGCCGATAGTTTTTCCGTAAGTGACAACCCAAACCGGCTTTCAGGCGTAACCTACGCGAACCTTTCCACAGCTCAAATGTTTAAACCTTATCAAACTGCATCGACAGAGCTTAACCATCGCATGTCGTTCCACAACTGAAATAGGCTTCCTATACCTACAGTAGATACATTTGAGAGAAGTCGAGTACATGGCGCATCGCCAAGATAATAGTGAACAACCGGCTTTCAACTCTTTTTGCTTTCCATTAGCTCGTGAACTGATAGCATTTTGAGATTTTGACAATCCTTTGCCTCTTCAACATTCCATTTTCAAAGCCTACCTTTTTCACTGGAAACTAAATACATGTTTCAGAACAGCTAGTAGCTGACTATCATTTGCTTGAAGCTTGATTTGTCATTTTCCAAATTCTCATTTCAATCACTTTATTTCCAAAACCCGTCTTGTGGCACCTAACGTCGTTACACAATCCCATATTCATGAATTAGATCCCCAGTGGCATTCGTTAGAAACCCTGGCGGTGGCAATTGCCACCACCGAATTCAGAGATCTGCATTACTGGGGCACTCTACTACTCACTGCTAGAGGTCGCTTTAGACAACCTTTTCCCTTCAAACTTTGCTTTCAATCCGCCATTGCACCCGCCCGCCTCAATAGGATTGCTCGGGATCAGGTGACAGCTCTTGACACCTACTCCGACCCACGGAATAATGGGTATTGTGATTATGGTAAACAGAAGTTTCCATGACACCATGGGTCCACTTGCGGGGTGACACCAACGAACCGGTAGGAGGTGCAAAATTGCTTGTTACGTGAAATGGCGAAGGCTTGGCGATTCCAAAATCATGACATTTAACATGATTAGACTATGGAATGAGCCCAATCTAACTGGATTAAATACGCCAAGTCAACAGTCGAAACCCTGTGTTTTACATTCTAAGCTCCAGCGGGCGTCGCTTGTTGCCATCATTCGGAAAGACCCTGTATAATAAGAGGGCGGAAGTGGTGTAGTGGCAAGTGGCACGCTTACCACGCGAGCGGTCCGGGGATCAAATCCTGGGTCGTGAGTCGCCCGGGCCAACCAAGCCTTCCATCCCTCCGGGGTCGGTTAATTGGTACCAGACTTGTCTGGGAGGATAAAAACTGACTTGTAACTTCGTATAATTGTATGATATAGGCCATAT